TCCCTTCCCTTCCCCTCTGTTCTTCTGTTTTGTTTCTTCACTTCTACATATGAGTGAAGTCATATGTAAAATATCTTGCTTCTTAATTATACTTTTGATGTTCTTATTTCGTTAAATATATCAAAGGAACTTATTTTATATACTGAATCTGATAGTTCTTTTTTTTTTTTTTTGAATCTGATAGTTCTAATCCTATCTGCAGTCTCTGCAGTTCTGACTCTGGTATATTTCATTGCTTCTGCCAATGCTTGCTCGTGGCATCTTGTTCCATGTCCGTGGTATTTTGATTGTGAATTCACGTTCATTGAAACCTTATATAGGTGAACTTTTTGAAAGATGGTTTAAAGTTTTTTTTTTTTTTTTTCTGGATGTTTGCATTTACTAACCTAATACCTGAGAGCATTAACTAACCCAGAGCCACTTTGAACAATATTAAGTATGATGAGGTTTTCTTGTGCTGCATAGAAATGTAGGTTCTGGTTCCGACCCTGCCTGAGGGTTGAGCTTGTAGTTGGCAATTCTGAAGGAAGACATTTTTCCCTCCTTCACTTCCCACTACTGTGTAAGTCTTGCAAATCTGATCATGTCACTTCCCCTGCTTAAAACACCATAGATCAACTCATTTCTTGGGTCTTAGCTTAAGCATTACTTCCTTATGATTGCCTCCTCTAATCGCCTGCTCCCAAACTAGATCAGGTCCCCAATTCATGCTCTTAAAGCACCTTCTACTTCTCTCTGTAGACATTCATAACAATTGTAATTGATTATTTGTGTAATATTTCAATGAAATAGTAAACTTCTTTATCACTGGCTATAAACTATGTTGTTGAGGACCATGTCAATCATCTTCACTGCTATATCTTCAACATCTAACTTAGGGTCCGGTGTGTATTTGTTGAATAAATAAAAAATAAACAAATTTACAGTTTGGGGAATATTACATAGTGTAGCAAATCAGTTCCCAGCTCTGTCATGTTCTAGCCCTATAAATATCTCTCTCAGTTGCTCACTTGTAAAATAGAATTGGTAACACTTACCTTGTGGGATTTTTGTACGTGTTACAAATGATGTATCTAAAGAACTACAAAACTGGGGTGTCTGGGTGGCTTAGTCATTAAGCATCTGTCTTTGGCTCAGGTCATGATCCCAGAGTCCTGGGATCGAGCCCCTCATCAGGCTCCCTGTCCACAGGAAGCCTGCTTCTCCCTCTCCCACTCGCCCTACTTTGTGTTCCCTCTCTCATTGTGTGTCTCTCTGTCAAATAAATAAAATCTTAAAAAAAAACCCTACAAAATCGCCCTTGGCAATGATAGATCCTCAATAAGTGGTAGCTTTTATTATTATTTGCCAGCTATTCCTAAGTTCTAGGGAATTGTGCCAACCAATTATTTTGAGCATACTCATATAGCCACTTCAAATAGGGAGTAATGTGAAGAGCTTTTAGCCCACAGTGAATCACTGCATCAATATGATAATTAATGGATTATTCCAGAAATTAGATTTCAAGATAAAATAGACTTAAAACTCAATAATATTGCTTTCAAAAATAAGTCACCATGGTGGTTTCATGGGTACATACGTATGTCAAAATTTATTAAGTTGTACACTTTATTTTTTTTGTTTAAGATTTTATTTATTTGTGAGAGAGAGCACACAAGCAGGGAGAGGGGCAGAGGGAGAGGGAGAAGCAGTCTCCCCGCTGAGCAGGGAGCCCAATAGGGCTCGATCCCAGGACCCTGAGATCATGGCCTGAGCTAAAGACAGATGCTTAACTGACTGAGCCATCCAGGCATCCCTAAATTGTACACTTTAAATATGTTCAGCTCATTATATGTCAGTTATCCCACAATAGGACTATTTTTTAAATAAAGAAAAAAATTAAGCCATCACCAATGAGTGGAATGAAATACATGTAATAGCTCTATTATTTAGGATGAAGTTTGATTCATTTCATTGTTTTTTTTAACCAAGAATCTGTCTATTTTTTGGGCTTCAATTTAAGAACAATTTAATTGTTTCTCACATAGTCCTTTTTTTTTCCATTGAGATTTGCATGCACTACAGTTTGACAAACGTCAGTGCCATCACTGCTGAAACTCTACTCCTCAAATGTAAATATTTGCTGAAGGTTAATCTTGCTTTAACAGATTAACCTTCAAAAGGAAATTTATTTCTGTTTCAGAATGAACTGTTTTTAAAATATTTATACTTATAACGATGCCCTGCAAAATATGCATAATGCCACTTTTTTTAAGCTGGCATTCTTCACAGATCTGACTGATGAACTTGGGCCTCTTTCTGAAGAGTGACTAGTTAAGTATACAGTTAATGAATCATAAGTATCCACACATTTGACAGTCTGTATTTCTGCTACTGTTAAGGCAGCAACAATTGGTATTCATTTGCTTATTAACATCCATCCAGTACACCCTAACTTGGTGTTAGTCGTGTTACTGGAAGACCTGTGGACAAAACCCCAGGGCCTAGATCTGAAAGGTGAGGAAGAACAGGTGTGGGTCAGCTAGGAGGTGATGCTTCTGTGAATTTGGTGAACAACTAGGAAATAGAGTGTCTTGGTTTGTGTTTCCCCAAAAGCAGAACCTGAGACAAGAATGTGGGATGCAGGTAGTTTATTTAGGAAGTGATCTTAGGAAGCACAAATGAGGAAGTGGGGGAAGTGGATGGGAAAGGGAGAAATGCCAGTAAAGGGTGATGAATAAATGAGTTACTGCTGTGTAAAGCTGGGGCACAATCTCACTAGGGACCCTCTGAGGAGTCATTTGAATAAGCTCCAAAATTATCCCACCAACAGATGGGTTAAGCTGGAGTATTTATCTGCAGATTCATATCCTCATGGTCTGAAGGATGCCCTGGAAAGTGGGGGCATTAATTACACACACACACACACACACACACACACGTGTGGACTAAGCAAGCTCCTGCTGGCTAAAGAAAGTCCTCAGACAGATATACCAAAGAGATGCCACCCATTGAGATAGAAAGCTGGCTGTGTGCATGGAAACTGCCCATCCCAGAGATGAGGGACTATGAGCTGGGACATCAGCATCATCTGCTACACAGAGGGTTTGGGATCTTGAAGTGATAGAATAGCAACACTAGATGTTAATGAATGTGTAGCAGCATGGTTAAAGCCACAGGTTTATAAATTCTGGAGGAGAAATTTCCCTTTACCACTTTTCCAGAGTGAAATAAAATTGAGGAAATGCACAATTAGCTGGTCAATTAAGTAGACTTTTCAGTTGTTTTGTATCCTGTAGATAGGTGGTTCAACAGCATTAGCATCACCTGGAAATCTGTTAGGAATGCAAATTCCCAGGCCCCACCCCAACTCTATTGAATCAGAAACACTGGATACGGGACCCAGAAATCTGTGACAAGCCCCATAGGTGATCCTAATACACACTCGGCTTGGGGAGCTTCAGCTGGAGGTAAAACACTGTCCTGAGAGACTTAACTCTTGTCCCACAGGGTCGTGGACTGAGTGTGGAGAGAACCATCTGGTGTCTGATCATAGTTGGGTGTGAAAATGGACAAATTATGTGATCTTTATGGGTCTTTTCCAATATATAAAATGAGAAGTTTGGACTAGTATACTGGAGTTTCAAAAAAAATTTTTAAGCAGAGGAATAGTTTCTTCCAAAGAAATTTTATTTGAAACATTAGTATATGAGACATGAAAACAGAGCTCCTTTTTTTTTTTTAGATGTTATTTATTTGATAGAGAGAGAGCAAGAGAGAGAAGGAGCAGGGGAACGGGCAGAAGGGGAGGGAGAAGCAGTTTCCGCTGAACAAAGAGCCCTACGTGGGGCACCATCACGGGACTCCCGGATCATGACCTGAGCCAAAGGGAGGCACTTAACTGAGCCACTCAGGCACACAACAGAGCTCCTTGATTGGGATATTATCCCAGGATCCTGTCTTCTCAATTTCCCTATGGTGGCTTCCTAAGCATCGCTATGGACCTTTGGGGTTCTAAGAAGTGTAGTTTGAGAACCACAGCAACAAGAAGACCTTCAAGGGCCCTCTACAATATGATCTAAAACATCAGGCAGACTTAACCACAGTTTACCTGCTGATGATAGCTCTGAGATAGACCTGTGATCACAAACCTTGGATTCAAAGCCTGGCTGAACTGCTACTAGCGGGTGACCATGAGCAAGTCTCGAAGCTCCCATGGCTTCTAGGGCATCCTCATTTCTAACCTGAAGTTAACACTAATTCTTGTTATATCTGCCATACAGGGCTGTTGATGGGAGCAAATGAAATCATGTATGTGAATATACTTTATAAGTTGCTAAATCCTGCCTAATTGGAAGGGATTATTATGGGAGAAATCCTTCCAGGTCATTTTCCTTTGTAACTGGTGCCAAAGATAAGTAGAGACAGAGAGTGTAGATAGTGAAATAGTCTGTAGTGTCTCCTTTATCTTTGAGGGATGTAAATGCAATTTTCCTTTTTAATTAAACCCTGTTTACCAGGAAGTGTCATTTTAAATAAAATGATGCTTAAGCAGAGACTTGATTTAACCTGTTGACTCATTCTATGAAGCTTGTAAAAATAATGCTTGGGGTAATACTATCTAAAGAGATAATTAGGGGTGCCTGAGTGACTCAGTCGGTTAAGCATCTGCCTTCGGCTCAGGTCATGATCTCAGGGTCCTGGGATCTAGTCCTGCATCAGGCTCTCTGCTCAGCAGGGAGCCTGCTTCTCCCTCTCCCTCTGCCTGCCACTGCCCTTGCTTGTGCTCTCTCTCTCTCTCTGTGTCAAATAAACAAATAAAATCTTTTAAAAATAAATAAATAAAGAGCTAATTAGTGTTTCTTAACAATTTACTGCCCACATACTAATAGGGAGAGCCAGTTTTGGAATATGTTGACTTAGCATTTGTAGCTTGCACATTCAGAAAAATTTTAGTGCATCATTACCTCATATTTATTTGGCTTTTTTTTTTTAATCATCAGACAGGTGTTCCAGGAGAGATTCATGCATCCACCACAGAAATGCCTGAGATATACCAGGTAGCATATTTTATGGCTGTGTTTTGTCATCAGCAAAGTTGTGAATAATTTCTTATGGAACTTTTGGAAGATTACCTACTAGTAATATCAAATATAGTTCCTGGGGTTAGAAGGTAGTCTGATTTAAGACCTATTTTTTTTTTCTCCTAAACCTTCAGGGTGGCAGGTCAGGATGATATCTGAAATCTGTCATCGTAAGAAACAGATATCTGCCAATAACTCTGTATGGCCACTTTGAAGGCTGCTATCACATGGACCTACCAACATTTTCTAAAGTGTGTCTCACTTTGCACTTCCTTCACATTTTTCCCATTACTTCGATTTTCAGACTCACATTTTTGTACACCAATCAGAACACCCTGAGAAGGAATCAATGTGGACTAGATGAGGATTTGCTCACAACCAGCCCATATTTGGATGGAGGGGCTGTCAGCATTCCTGCACCTTCGAGCCGGAGAAGCAGCCATGGGGCTAAGGCTCCTGCACGTGTGTGCTCATTCACTTCTTGAACAAAGAGACATGCAGTACTGACTACTGATCAGGCACAGTGCTGGGCACAGTGAGCAGAGCAAACAGGCCTTTGCTGGGATCTGCAGGTTCCTGAGGAGTCAGGCGGGCAGGAATGGAGTGGGAAGCCAAGCAGACATGAAGAGGAGCAGAGAGTGTTTCAAGCAGAGAGAAGAGTATATAGAAAGGCCCAGAAGAGAGCATGGTGCGTTCTGAAGACTGAAGAAAGTCCACAATGGCTAAACCATAGGGAGTCACATGGATAGTGAGATGAGCTAGTAGCAGGTCCAGGAAGATCTTGTCAGCCTGGGCCTCCTTCTCCTCATTTGTGTAACAATAGGGCTGGTGCAGAGCAGTGCTTCTCAAACTGCCCTGTGGAACCAAGGGGGTTCCACCCAGGAGCCTTAGAGGGCCTTGGGGTGAAAGGGAATGACTCTGGGCTCCAGCTTTTGCTTCAGTAATAGCAGCTTCATTCATATCCATTTCAAATGTTGGAGATCCAATAGTGTTAGAAAATAGGGTTCCATGGATTAAAAAGTGATTGAAAACTGCCAAGTCCCCTCTAGGTCTGCCGTCTTCGGATAATAGGATTCCGTGCCACCCTCCTTGAGAGAAGGCTATCCAGGTTACTAGGGGTGTGAGCGTATTGTCTCCTGAGGAGTGGCCCATTCCTAACTGAAAACACACAGGATTGCGGTGTGGGCAAAAAGTTCTGGGACTTCCTGTTGACTTTTTCACAGAACTTTCCAAAACAGTCCCTGAAATTTCCACTTTCCCACCTTGACTGACGTCTCTTTGTGTTGGCAGGTCAGAGGAACCTTCCAGCAAGCCTCTTATCTGCTTTCCTAAGGAGCCAGTGTGTTGTAATGCTGGGTCCCCTCAGGCTACACCCACACAAGGGTACGTCCACCTACACGTGAAAGAGCGTGAGCCCGAGAATGAGGACCAACCTCTCCTCAAATGAGAAGTCACTCCCTGTCTTACCCATAAGTGGCACTGTAAGTACTGGTTGAATTGTCTGCTTTCTTTTTCTTCCAGACTCTTGTTCTTTAGACTTTGACTCTATAGACCAGCATAAGCCATTTTAGCTTCTCACTTACCTGAGTCCCCTGGACTTGGCTTCTTGCCTCCTTGACCTCTCGCCTTCAAGTCCAGGCTGAGGCTCTGAAAGTCAACCTTCGCCCACACATCCATGGAGTCCCTGCACTATCCCTGGCTAGCCAGATTGGCGTCCCAGCTCCTCTGAAGCAGAGCAGCCTGGCCCTCTGCTCAAACCCTGAGAGACGGTGGTCACCATTTAAGGAATCTGTTTGGGTACTTGCTGACGGCTCCTGCCAGCCCCCCCCCCCCGCCTCTCCCAGCTGGAGCCATGAGAAGCCACCCACCAGGAGACCCAGACTTCTGCATTCCTCCATTCAACCCTGACTGAGCAGTGCTTCTTCGAGTTTAATGTGCAGACAAATCATCTGGGAATCAGGCCAAAGTGGATATCTGATATTTGGGTCTGGAGTGGGGTCAGAGAGCCTACATTTCTAAGAAGTTCCCAAGTCATGTCAGTGGTTCATGAGCTTCACTTTGAGCAATAAAATGAGAACACGTAGACTAGTGACCTCAGACTCACCTGGAGATAGGACCTGGAATGCAATGTTTTCCCCCATTTGTTAGCAAACAGTTATCAAACACTCTCTCTCTTTGTGGTCCTTGCTGTGCTGCTAAGATCCTTTCTTTGCTTTCAAGGATAGAAGAAAAACCTATATATTTGGGGCCTCTATACTTTATAAAGCTTCATTCTCACAACGTCCCTATACGATTCCTGTCTTATACCTGAGGAACCTGCATCTCAGAGAAGTTAAGTAGCTTATCAAAGGTTTTGCTAATGGGAAATGACAGCCCGGATTCCAGCTTACTTCTCTGGCTCTGAGCCTTCATGCCTTCTGGGATATCTCAACCATCTCTTCCTTAATTTTCTTGTGTTGTCAAAATCCATACAGTTCGGTTTCTGCCTCAGCTTCCTTGCCTAACACTTTAGTTTCTGGCTTTCTGGCTTAGGCTGAGCCCTGCTCCAAACCCCAGCCAGCTTGGCTGGTGGTCACGCATCCAGCTCTTCCCAGTCCCTCCTCACCCGCCCATCTCCTCCTTGGGATTCGGCTACAGATAGTCCAGTTGCCTGGAAACACAAAGCATTGCTCCATGTTGCAAAACAGCTTCTAGGAACTAGAATGTTTCCTTTCCTCTATAACTCACCCTCATGGTGCTTTGAAGTTTCACACTCAGCATCAAGCAATTGGAAAGTAAATAAGCTACAAAATAGACACAGTGAAGAAAGGAGAAAGTGGCTGGAATTTATGCAAATTTCATTCTCTGACCTCTTAAGCCCAGAGCTGTATTCCTAATGGTCCAGGCATCCTTCTAGGGATAGATGTAGCAGCTACTAGAGCTCATGATTTGACTTGTCCCAAACCCTATCTCTGCTCTGCTGAGGCTTTGGGGCGAGCAGAAAGAGTGGGGTAGAGTGGGAGAGTTGTCTGCACGGGATGGATGTTACATAGACTGTAGAAGCTCTGGCCTGTGGTCATGGCTTTGACTTCTCCTAATGCTCCCCACTCCCTCCCCACCTGCCCCTCTTAGCCCAGCCACCTTTAAGCTAGGAGCTGACTTCCTATTGGCTCATTTACTCCCATTTAATTACCCCGTGCAGGGGGAGGGAAAATATTTGCTAATTCTTCAACTGCTTCATCTTACTTAGAGTGGCAGAATTGAGCAAGAATTAGGAATTGAAAGGTGTCATGGTCCATTCTCACTGACTGATGCAATGTTCTCTCTCTTTGTTATTCAGGGTAACCCATTCTACCCCAAGACACTATGACTTTCAGTGAAAAATCTTCAACAGAATTTTGTAAACCATTCCCCGTGCTCAGACTGACACTTTCGATGATCATAAACCGGACTTCAGGCAATCTTCTGTCGGCCCTATATCATTTTAAGTGACATCTGTTACTTGTTTGTGTGTTCTCCCCTCCTCCCACATACCCAGCGGATGGCAACTCCTACCCAACCCAAGCCCAAGTTAGTCAGAGGCCTTCTGACCCTCTGACTGCGTGTAGCTGGGTCCTCGATCCATATTCCCCGGTCCTCTGCCCCTCGACACCGTGTGGCCACTTTAACCACACCTCCCGCAGCAGCTCTGTAAGTCCCTGAACCTCCTTCCGCCCTCCCCCCCCAAACGGACGAAATGTAAACATGTTCTTGGTCAGCGGTGTGGTAACTTGCGGTTTCCTTTAATTCAGAGTTCGAGTCCTCCCTCAGGGTTTGCCATGGTTTCTGTGCAAGTCCCAGAGTTGTTTTTTGTTTACTCTGAGCATGCAGATGGCAGAGGGAGCTTTGGCCAGACTAACCACAGCATCCTGTAGTCAGCATGTAGAGTTTACATGCATCTTGAAAACCTTTGAGTGCTCTTTGGTCTAGTGCCCTAAGAAGTATGCCAAAGTAAAATTTCAAAGCTTTGCATCAATATTTTCCTTTTGGGTCTAGAAATTTTGTGATCAAATGCCATAGCTTTTTTACCTCCAACGGTGACTGTGTAATTTTTGGCAATCATCAGGCATTCTTTGTTGCAAACTCTTTTGAAACCAGTGGCAAATGCTTAGTAGCATTGATAGTGTTGACCAAAGATTAGTTTGGAAATTTAATAAAAGGAAAAAATAAATTACTTAATGTTCTAAAACATGACTTAGCTGTATTTTTACCTTCTTTTAAGTCTACGTGCTATTTCTTGTCTTAGAAAATTTTAAATGATCTTAGCATAGGATATGTCTGATTACAAACTTCACACGTTGACAGATGAAAGCCTATTTTATTGTTGGTGAGTACAAGCAGATAACATGTGCTTGGCACTCTATTTAAGGTTACTGCCACAACTTGGAAGATACTCTAGGACACTAAATATTTTCTGATCATTCATCAGTTTTTCATTCATTCAACTAATATATATCTAGTGCTTACTATGTGCCAGAAATTGTTCTGTATTGTAGGTCTTAAAATGATGAAAAAGGTAGACAACATTTCTGCCTACGTGAAGCTCATATCCTAGTGGTGGCTCAAATGTTTGTTAATTGAATAAGTAAATGAATGAATTTGGGTGCAGGGAGGGAGGAGGCTGGGGTTGGGTTGGATGCTTCCTACTTTCTCTCCTCAGATTCCTACTTACCTCCACATCCTAAGCCATGGGCCAGCTCTACCTCAATCTGAGCCTAGCTCTAGTTTCTAAGTTGGAGCCTTAGACACCCACTGACCTAGCTGGCAAATCGGATCTTAGGGATTGGGGCATAGCAGCAGGAATTTTCAGACAGGGGTGGTACTCAAAACCAGGCAGGCAACAAGGTTGGGGTACGGAATTTATCTGGTTCGGATCAAGACCGTGATTGGGAGGAAGAGACTGGTGGGAGAAGGTCAAAGGTCAGGGATTCAGGGTTCGGTCTCTGTGTGGCAGAGTAACTAAAGTGCAAAGCAAGGAGTTAAGGAAAGTTCCATTCTTACGGAAAGGCAAGCATGTTCCTGACAAAGGGTTAGGGACAAGGCTGTAATTTGGTGGGCATGTGGGTGCACACCAAACCCAACCTATATTAGTACTCATTCCAGACTCTATAAGTGGAGGTCTGAAACATTGATCTGGCAGTCGGGTTAGGGCTGAGACTCATAGAGAATACGAGTTCAAAGAGCAACCCTTGAGAGGAGACAGAAGAGGGTGTGAATCCCAGCTCTGCTACCTTGGGCAAATTGCCTCACCTCTGAGCCCTAGTCTCCTTACTTGTAAAATGGAGTTGGTAACAGCTACTTCACCTGGATGTGGCGAGGATTAAATGATGACTTTGGGAGGACTTTGAGGCTTCTTCAAAAAGAAGACAAGTCTTTGAGCAGCTAGGGCTCTCCCTGAGGCCCAAGTGGAGAGGAGGTGATGGTCAGCAGCCCAGTGGTTGTGTGGCTGGCTCTGGGGCCACAGGAGTCATTCAGGTTTGGCAGCTGGAGAGCAATAACAGCCAGTCGGCGTGCTCTCTCCTGGGGTCTGGGGGAGTGCTTGGGCGTTGGCTCGTGTGTATGTAGTTCTCATATTTGCCACACGCTTGTGTGTATATAGTACTCATATTTGCCATGGCTCTGCCAGGAGCTCATAGCCTCTGAGTCTCAAGTCAGTGCATCTCCTTCCTTCAAGCTCAAGCAGTGATGACCAAAAATTGAAAACAACAACAACAACAACACACACAAACACACACATATATATGTATAGATATATAGGTATCTATCTCCCTGTTGCTGAGTCCAATCCACATACCAACTTTGGACTTAACCTTTCATTCTTCTGCTCAGAAATCTTTCATTGCTCTTTACTTTTAATTGCATCATCTGCTTAATTTTCTAGGCCTTTTATAATCTAATTTCAAGTTATTAGCCACTCAGCTCCCTTGCTTCCTCACATCCCCCTTCTCTGTCCCACCCAGGCCCATGCCTCTTAATTACAGGTTCTCCTTTCCTTTGGAAGCCTCACCTCCACTTGCTCCTGTTGTTGTTCTTCTCTTAAAAATGCTACCCTGTCTTCCACCTGGCTCAGGTCTCACCTTACCCTTGAAGCCCTTTTTGACTCTTGGAATGCTTAGAGATCTCCATATCCCTGAACTCCTGTGATGCTTAATAGTTTAGAATATATCAAGTTTCACAAACTCTAAGATGCCATCGACTGAAGATGCACCATTATTTTATGTACCATTAGGAAGACCCTTCTAATAAAACTGGCAACTATAGAATGTAAGATACATCCTTATTTCAGAAAGGTTAAGCTGTGAAAAAGTTTGTCTTAGGCTCAGTGAAATGCTATAATTATTTAGTGCTATATATTGTTCATAATTATGAACATTACCACTGTTTTATAACTGCCTGTTTATTTTCTGACTCCTCCACTAGAATGTATACTTCATGAAGAC